TATATATCAATATATCAATTTCAAATACATTATATATCAATATATCTATTTCAAATACATTATATATCAATATATCTATTTCACTAAGTATACGAATATATACAAATATACAAATATATTATATATCAATATATCTATACAACCTATAAAAATATATTAAACCTATAAAAATCTATAAACCTATAAAAATATATTAAACCTATAAAAAAATCTATAAACCTATAAAAATATATTATACATCAATCTATCTATTTTAAATATATTATATATCAATATATTTATTTCAAATATATTATACATTAATCTATCTATTTCAAATATATTATATATCAATCTATCTATTTCAAATATATCATATATCAATCTATCTATTTCAAATACATTATATATCAATATATCTATAGACCTACCTATACAAGTATATTATATATCAATATGTCTATAGAACCTACTTATACAAATATATTATGTATCAATATATCTATAGAACCTACCTATACAAATATATTATATATTAGTTATACTTATTTCACTACGTTTAGTCAAGAAATTACTAAATTAAATTGAGACAGAAACATTACATATTGTATACTATGTATCTAATTTAGAATTTCTGAATGTTACTACCGAATGAACTACTGCATGTTTCTTGTTTAAATTGATTGCTAAAAATATGAAATATCGATTACACTCGAGAAATCATCACTGTATGATCTTTTTATTATTAATTTCGAAGAGTATTGATCACCGGAGATTACTTTGCGACAGGGTACTCCTGGCATCGGATCAGTTAAACTGACTGTAAAATTATCAAGTATGAAGTTATCCAGTTCCCAAGGCGTTACTATAGCGTGCGGTATTACAATCTGGTTTCTAAAATAGGTACCCCCGACCGAGAAAGTTATGTCTGACACGTACAACTGCACGCTGGGACCACCGTGGGTGAACGTCACGCTTTCAAAGATGTATAAAAACGAGAAGAAATTGCTGTACCCGGTGAATGTCGGGCGTAACATAGCCCGTGAATCGGCGCCGACGTTCTACGTGTTTGCAAGCGATATCGAGCTGTATCCGAACCCGGACTTGCCGGCGAAGTTCCTCGAGATGATCAGAAGGAGGGATCAGCCCGCTCTCTACAAGCCTAATCCAAAGGTTTTTGTATTGTCTATCTTCGAGGTGGACGAGAAGAGTCAACCGCCTAATAACAAAACACATTTGGCAAGTCAAGATACAGTTTACACTTTATTTGACAATTGACACTTTGCTGTCGGGTTATTGAGAGTGCGTGTCTCACATCTGCAGCTCAAATCAATCTGCAAATCAAAATAAATCAAACATGAAATAGCACAGTAGTAACATAATAAAACGTAAGAATATTATCAAAGTGAATACATTATTATCCAGATAAGATATAAGTAAAAATATTATAATATCCAGATAAGATGTAAGGTAATTTATGAAGGATGCTGGAAGCTCCCCCGCTGTCAGTATGCTTCGGACTGTAATTTCACTGTCCCGACAGTAAAGTGTTAATATTCTAGCGTCTAGAGTGTATTGTTGATAGTAACGTGCGTATGATTCAGTGACATATATTGTGTAATCCAATATCTGGGATATCGAGCACAATGTTACTAGATTGCTCGCCTGTTCTGTTTCTCACATCCGATCTAAAACTGTTATCTTCCGTTAACCTTTTAACGCTGTGACATTCGAAATGCCACCGGCTAGATCTGATTTTCGTCAAATTTATTCTCCCTTCACTCTGGAACTCAATCGCAGAATGCCTATCAGTGATATATAAAGAATATAAATCAGTGATATAT